CGATTCGGATCTCTTTCATTATTCGGAATACCCATCCATGGCAAAGATCCTTTTAAAAAGTAAATCCAAATATAGCCTAACGATTCCATATCATCTCGACGACTTTGATCAAGCCCTTTCAAAGCATTTATTGATGTGTAACGAGGCGTTCCAGCAGCTTTTATATTTGTCAAACATGGCTTATGATCTAAAGTTTGAGGATCACGATATTTCCTTGCTAATCCAAAATCAATCATATATAATTGATTTTTTTTATTATTAAGACCAATTACAAAATTCTCTGGTTTCAAATCTCGATGAACAAAATGCCTATTATGAACTAATTGAATAGATGATAACATTTGATCTATTATCATTAATACTGTTTTTAACGAAAAATGACGATTACATTGAAGAAACAATTCTTTAAGTGATTTTCCTAATAATTCAATAGCCATAACGTTATTACTTAGGTTAGTTTTATTATTCCAATTCGTAAAATTTGTATTTGATTTATTTGTTGAATATGAACCAAACCAATAAAATTTTGGAATATTAGTAGCTCCTTCTAATATTTTATAAATCGTTGACTCATTGTATAGTTGATATGTTTGAATTTCCGCGGGCTCAACTTTAACTGCAACATTTTCGCCTGTTTTTATATCAAGAGCAATGTAAACTTCACCAAAACTGCCTGCACCGATTTTTTCTTTAATTTGAAAGCGCCCATCAATGGTTTTATTTATCATTAAATGCAAAATTTTAATTTCAATTTTTTCTAAATCTTAAAGTCAATAACAATTTAATATTTATATAATTATTTATATAATTTATTTAGATTTTTATCATATATTAATACTTAGAAATAAATAAAAACATTATATATAATAGTAAAATCACAAAAAAAGTCTTTTTGTACAAAATAAGAATGTTTTTGGCATTAACGAAAATATTTTCAAAATTGAATGATTCCAAAAACTTTTTCAGAAGTAAATTGATGAGAAAAATCATTAGGGAATCAATTAAACTACTCATATTTGGAATGCATTTTAAGTATTTTTTTATTAACTATCAATCATTAACTTTTTTAAAAAGTTTAAATCTCCTGATTAAGGTCAAATATTTAACCAGAACTTTGGAAATGATGTGTCGGTTTAAAAAAAAATATGAATGATAATTCAACAAATGCTGTTTTAACGCAAAGGGAGGCTGTACTTGAAGAAATATCCAAAATATATTTACAAGAAGAACATGGCCTTATTACAATTTCAAAGATACCAATAATTCAAAAATTTTTAAAACACCCAATATTTCTACCTCAAAGAAAAGTCATTGTTCTTATTGTTGGTAGCCATTCAACAGGAAAATCGAGTTTAGCTAACTGGTTTTTTGGGGATTCCATCCAGAAAGTTTCAGCAGCTATTGAAACTAGCCGATTTACATTTATTACTACTGGAAGAAAAAGGCAATCATTAGATGGTGAATCAACACTAAGACAGTTTGACTTTCTTAAGGAAATGAGTGAAATCCCTTATTTCGTTGATAATCTCCAAACTGAAATGCGACTTCCTATTGAAGATAGATCAACTCTTGTGACTTTTGTCGATACTCCAGGTTTAATAGCAGATAAGAATCGCGTTCCATATGATAATGAACAAATATTATTACAACTTTCCAATCATTCCCAAGTTATCCTTGTTTTAGTTGACCCTCAAACTCAAGCATTTTGTGATCCACTTGTCAATTTTATTTCAAAAGCTTATAAAAATTCTCGAAATAAATTTTATTTCTTTTTGACAAAATCAGATACTCTCAACGATGATGAAAAAACTCGTATTATTGCTTCAATTGCACAGAAGTTATCATCAGCCATAAATAATTCAACAATAAATATACGTCCATTTCATTTGCCAAGGTCATTTTTAGAGAAATCTAAATTTAATTACAAAAAGCAAAACAGGCAAGAATATACAGAAGAAGATAAATATGATAGCGATTCAGATCTTTCAAATTCACTTCCTTATCTATGTGAAGTTATTGATAAAGCTGTTGAAAGTACCGTGCAATCAAATTTATCTCAACTATCAAATGACTTAAAGGATTTAACCAGATGTACTACTCAAGCATCTAAATCACTTAACAAAAGAAACAACTTTTTTAATTTCTCATTAGCCTTTCTAATATTATCAATATCTTATTTTTTAGTTGCTTTCTCTTCTCGTCTTTTGCGTTTCCGTAAGTATACTGGTTTTGTTCCAATATTTGGTTTATTTTTCTTTATCATTTCCTATTTCATAAAACCAGACAAGAAAGTTTTACAGAAAATAAAGAATTTCAGAGAATCTACCGCACGAAGCGCAAATGCGAAACTCAATGAGTTTTATAATGAAATCAATCATCCCAAATAATGAAAAACTGTTATTAATAAATTATTCTACCATTGAGAATTTTATTTAAAATTTTTCAATCATTGTTAATTTAATACTATATTAACAACATCATTATAAAAACTGATTAATTCAAAGATTATTATCGAATTGACCAAAAATTGATTGAACTTATTGATACTCTGCTAGTTGTTATTTTGATTTTAAATTAAAAAATACGTTACCTCATATGAACAAACTTTTTGAAATACCCTTCTGAAAAAAATACAATTTTTTGAATATAAACACAACTTTTCTTAATATAAAAAATGAATAATAATAATCGCCCGTGCTACAGCCCCCCTCCACAATATACTCGAAGCTCTCATTATCCAAAAAAGTCAGATGAAAAACATCGCTCTGAACTTTTTTTAAAACATGGAACACATATTGCGTCTCCACCATTAAACAAATCATTACCATCTATTAAAGTTTTTGAAGATGATTCCATAGAATCAAATATTACAGAAAAAAAATCTGACCCACCCAATATAAAAAAAATGTATTCACCAGACTCTTTTCCAAATGAAAAAGATTTAAAAAGAAAAAAAGAACGCAAAGAAAAGAAAGGGGAACAAAATACGTCATTTGAGCAATCGTCATCCAAAAAAGCACGATCAGCTTTTAGTTCTCCTCAATCTCCAAGAAAACCTAGAACATCAATTGATACGTATGAAGCCAACAAAGAATTTATATTATCTCGTTTTTATGGGGTTGATGAAAAAATAACTCTACACCAATTAGAAGTATTACTTCATTACTTTTCAATTATTGATTTAAACATCAATGAAAAACCTCTCGTAGCTAAAAACATATTACAACTTTGTGAAATTCCCAATTCGAGTGATGAACAACTTTATAAATCGCATAAATTAATGGAAGCACTTATTCAATCATACAAAAAAGCATCAACAAGTTCATTTTGGAAAGACATATCAAATTGTATTACATCAGCACGAATGAATGGATCCAGATCATTCAATAGGATGCCATTTTCTCCTCCAAAACTACAACCAAGTAGAGATTCATTTTCAACATCATCAAAAAAAGAAGAATCAGATGGAATACCATCCTATCAAAAATATCTCAACAAACGTAACAAAGAGCGCCAGCTTGCTCAGACCAAAAAAGACATGATTAATCAAAACCAAGAAAATCCAAATATGAATAAAAAATTCTCAAAAACGCAACCAGTACAAAGACCTAATTTCAGCGATATTGAAGTCTATAACTACGATACGAATGAATATGATGAAGAAATGACCTTTACTGACTTGGTAAATCAAATGAAAGATGAAGTTTTTAGTGAAAGACAATTTAAGCGTCTTCTTAATGAGAACACGAGCAGTGAAAACGAGAATCTGAAGCAACTAAACGACAATGGCTCATCTGCCAGTGGACCACAATTTTTCGAACGATTAAAAGTCATAGAAAAATATGAAAATTACAGAGAATTTCCCACTCAGAAAATTTCAATGCCCATTGAAAAAGTTGACGATGAAGGAGAGATGGAAGACAACGAAAATGAAGGGAAGAATTCTCGTAACAAAAGTAAATTAACGGCAACCGACAGACAAATTGATTCACTTTCAAAGGAAGTTGATGAATTGAGAGCACAAAACGATCAGCTCACAAATGCTAACAAAAAGTTGCAAACTAAAAATTCTCAACTTGCCACCAATTACAAGCACCTAAAGAGCAGCAACTTGGTACTCACGTTCAGCAACAGACAATTGAAAACAGACTCAGATCAACTTGCCAAATTAACGAAGGAACTGGAACAGCTAAAAAATGACAAGTTGCTTCTAGAGTACGACTATAGCAAACTGAAAAGGAAGAATTTCAAATTGTCTGCAAATAACAAAAAATTGAAGACAGACAACGTCTTCTTATCAACAACAAACAAGGAATTAAAACAAACAACGAATTATGAAAAAACGGTTATTTTAACCGAACAAATTGAAAAATTGACTGAACAAAACAATCAATTATTGAATGATAATTCAAAATTGAAAACTGAAAATTGTGAACTGGAAACTAAAAATTCTCAGCTGGAGTCAAAAAGTGACAATTTGAGAGAACTTCAAAATCAAATAAATGAACTCAAAAAACAAAATAACCGTTTGAGAGCGGTTAATAGACAATACGAAATAATAAATAACGAGCTGTCATCCGATAACGTGCAGATACTCTCTCTGACTGAACAACTGAACCAATTGAAGGCTGAAAACGAACAGCTGTTGAATGACAACTTGATGCTGAAAACAGCAAATAGAAATTTGTTGAAAATGGAAAATGACCAAGGACCAAATAAGCTCTCAAAAAGCGAAGAAGAAAATTCAAATTTGTTTGATAGCCTTGTGGAAAATATTGAGAGTGAGAATGACTTAAGTAATCATCAGAAAGAAGAATTGATTGAGGCAGTTTAAATAAATAAATAAAAAACTTCATTTTTGTTTTCAAGAATAAAAAGTATGAGTAAAATGATTATTTATCGAAACATGTTATTTGCAATTTCTATTTTTTTTTTTTTTTTTTTTTTTTTTTTTTGGAATCGACTGTAAAATAGTTGTTCAATTCTTATATGAAACAGAACTTCTCTTCGTCTAATGGTAGGACAGGTGGCTGTAAATGTCTTGCGGTTACCACCATATGCCGGTTCGATTCCAGCAGAGAAGATTTTTTTGATTTTTTTTTTTTTTTTTGGTAAAAAGAGTTTAAATCAAATACAATGATAATAAAAATGCATTATTATTTAATTATTTTGAGTAAGCAGGCAAATAAGATTTATACTTTTTCAAGAATTGATTAACTTCTTGACCATCTACATCTGTCAAATTCAGCAGATGTTCTTTTGAATTTTCCAATTTATCGCAAATTGAATCGAAACTTGGCCGTTCATTATAATCAAAGTTCCAGCACTCGTTGATTAGAGATTTAGTGAATGATGTGAAAGAATCTGGCATTAATGCTTTTTTACCCATGCAAATGTCTTTTATTTTAATTTTAGGCAGCTCACCGCCGCTTATGATGAAATAAAGAAGTACTCCAAACGAATAAACGCCCACTTTTTCATTGTACTCTTCTTCATTCAAAATTTCAAGGGCCATGAATTTTTGTGTTCCTAAACCGTTTGAAATTGAGAACCAATCGTTTGTCATCAGTAATTTGATATTCCGAAATCAGTAATTTTCACGATTCCATTTGAATTGATGAGTATGTTTGAAGGCTTTATATCACAATGAATCACTTTTCTAAAATGATGATGACATTGAGGATAATGAGTATGAATATAAAATGAATGAAATAGAAAAAATGTTCAAAGGAAAAGTTGAATTTAAGCATGTTTGGTTTAATATATATTTAAAATATATACTGAAATATTTTTAAGTTTTTATCTTGACAATTTTAAGATATTTTAATTTTTCGAAAAATAAATTTCAAAAATTTGGCGCCGAAAAAAATAAAATTTTGATATTTCTTTGCTTCTTTTTAAATTCTAGCCAATAAAATAAAATAAATATTTTGATCAATGAAAAATGTTTTAACTGTGAGGGTTTCAAAAAAAATAATCTAATGATTATTTATATTTTTATACAGTTCAAATCCAATTTTTTTTGATATTCTATGCTTTATATCACCAATAATCTCAGTTTTCTATTTATTTCAAGTTTATTCCATGAAATTTTATGAAATCGGAAAAAAAGATTAATCGCAATTATTTGCATTTAATTGGATTAATTATAATTTAGATTAAATCAAAATCATTGAAAATTATTATATAAATATAACAACGCGTATATATTGCCTTTTGTACAATTATTTTAAGAAATTATATATTCAATTTTATATTAACAGATAATACTCAGATTTAAATATTATGATTTATTAATATACTTTATACAATTTTATTAATATTATTTTGATAGGTATTGGCAATTCATATGTATTTATTTACTTCAATTTTTATGTAAAAATATAATTATCTCCTAAACTAAATAATTTAAAAACAATTTGCTCAATAAATTATTTTACATATAAGATGTATTTAAAAAATTAATTATAAGTTTTATAAAATATCTAATTTTGTACATAATCAAATTTCAAGTTCACTTCACTTTTTTTAAAAACTGACAAGACAATTTTATTTTTAAATACCAACTTCATTATACATATTAGCTAAAGAATATAATATTTCAAAATTGGCCTTTTCTGATCAGCCAATTTTTTTTCAAGCAGCTCAAATAAAAAATGCAGTATTTTTTTTTTTTAATAAATTATATCTTATATATAAAACAGAAGGTATAATAATATTATATTGTTGGGTCGTTTGAAAAGGAAAACACTTAACTTTTTTTTTAAAAAAAAAATTTTATAAAATGAATTTAAAATAATTGGAAAAATTATTTCCTATTCCACCTGTATTGAAATACATTCTTGATATTTCTCCATTGCCTCGTTATCTCCTTTATCAGCAAGCAATTTGAAATATCTGGCAGCTACTTCCTTGTTTACTTCTATTCCATCTCCATCAAAATTCATTGATGCATATTTAAATATTGCCCTGCCATGACCCTGATCTGCAGCGATTTTGAAGTATCTAGCAGCCTCTTTAGTGTTTTTCAATATTTTATCTCCTTTATGAAGTCTGCATGCAAATCTGAACTTAGCTTCAGCATCTCCCTGATCTGCAATAAGCTTGAATAATCGAGCTGATTCTTTCCAGTTTATTTCCACTCCTCCTCCAGAAAAAAGCAATTGTGCATATTGCTCCATTGCACGAGTATGTCCTTTATCAGCTGCAAGTTTAAAATATCGTGCTGACTCTTCCTCGTTAGCTTCAATTCCATCTCCTTCTGAAAGCATGATTGCGTAATTGTACATTGCACTTGCATATCCATGTTCTGATGCAAGTTTATAGTATCGCAATGCTTCTTCTTTGTCAATTTCAATACCGTCACCTTTGTCAACCATCACAGCATAATTAAACATTGAAACAACACCTCCATGATCTGCAGCTTTCTTGTAATATTGTGATGCTTCTACTTTGTTTTTCTCTATACCATCTCCTTTTGAAAGCATATTTGCATACTTAAACATTGCTTTGACATATCCTTTGTCTGATGCAAGTTTGTAATAGCGAGCTGCTTCTTCCTTGTCTTCACTGATTCCATCTCCTTTTGAAAGCATGACAGCATATTTGTACATCGCTTTCTGATCTCCTTCTTCGGCAGCAAGTTTGTAATAACGCGCTGCTTCGACTTTATCCTGCTCAATTAATTCGCCTTTATCAACCATAAATCCATAAATAAACATCGCATTCGCATCACCTTGATCTGCTGCAAGTTTATAATAACGGGATGCTTCTTCATGATTCTTTTCAATTCCTTCACCTTTGGAAAGTAAAACTGCATATGTCAACATCGAGTCAACGTGTCCTAAGTCTGCTGAAAGCTTGTAATAATGCGCTGCTTCTCTCTTGTTCGATTCAACGCCATCTCCTTTTAAAAGCATGAATCCATAACTGAACATCGATTCAACATGACCTCGATCTGCGGCAAGTTTGAAATAACGTGCTGCTTCTGATCTATTCTCGTCAATTCCATCCTTGTTTGCAAGCATGAATCCATACTTGTACATCGATTTCGTATGTCCTTCGTCGGCTGCTTTTTTATAGTATTTAGATGCTTCTTTCTTGTTCTTTTCAATTCCATCTCCTTCATCAAGCATGAATGCATATTTAAACATTGATTCAACATCTCCTTGATCTGCTGCTTGTTTATAATGTTTGGCCAATTCGTCTTTTTTCGTATCAATTACATCTCCTTGATCTGCTGCTTGTTTATAATGCTTGGCCAATTCGTCTTTTTTCGTATCAGTTACATCACCTTTAGAAAGATATTCGGGATTTTGAAGCATTAATTCCAAATTCTTTTGTTCTTTTGATATTTCTTCTTTATTTTCTGCTATTTGATTGTACTTTGTTGTTATTTCTTTATAAATATTCAAATAAAATATGTTATCTGCAGATTTTTCTTGAATTTCATTCAAATATTCTGAAATAAATCTATTCATCTCGTTTTCATATTTTGAAACTTCTATTTCTTCTTTTTCATCATTTCCTATAATTTCTCTTTTGTGTAATTCAAGTTCTTCAATGATATTTGAAATTGTTGCTTTATTTACTTCATTTGTTTTGTTTATAGTCAAATATTTTTGAAGAAATTCTTTCAGCCATTCTTGTTTAATCGTTGAAATGGCTGAAACATGTTCGTCTTCTTTATATACTCTTCCAGTCAGCATTTCGTAGATTATTTTAAAATATGAACTTATTTCTCTTCTTAATTTTTCTCTGTTTTGTTCATCAATCAATTTCTTGTTCTTATTAATAAATGAAACCAAAAGTCGTGGCCAAAAATTCTCATCAATGTAAATCTTGTTAGATTCAAGGTATTCAACGTATATATTGTGATAATTCAGGAATTCAATCGTCTTTAAAAGTCCAAATAAAATTTTGTAAACAGTCGAAGCTGATATTGAATTCTTCTTGACTGCTATCATTTCTTTCAATGTACAAACAATGCCGTATTCATTGATGATCGTTGGATGTGGATGTTCTTCAAAAGAAACAATTTTCATCATTCCTGGATGCTTCGTCATTCTCTTCATTACATTAAAATTCGAAATGAAGATTTTTCGTTCTTCATTCGTTTCAAAAAATGTTTTGATGACTGTTTGAACATATTTTTCATTCGTTTTTGGATTAACAATCAATGAAACGGTTTCTTTATTGTTATTTTCAAGTTCTGAAACATTCTCGAATTCTTCTATGTTGACTATTGAGTTGTCAATGCTTGTCATTTCACTCACTTTCGAAGATTCATCATAAAAAACGTCAAAAAGATGCTTCACACTCGATGGAATGTTGATGCTTGAAATCGACGTGTTCAAGAACGATAAAGGCTCGATCGTTTGAAGTTCCGATTTATTTGAAATTTCAACATGTTCAAGTTTTTTGCAATTGAAAAACGAACCTTCACAAATTTCGCGAACTTGACTTGGAACGAAGATGTTCTCAACACAACTTTCTGAAAATGCATATCGTCCAATTCGCTTGATAAACGAAGGAATTATCAAACTTTTCACATCTCGTCGAACAAAAAGAAGATTATCGTATTCTTCACTCATTAAATTGCTCTTGCCAACGATCATCTTGTTATCAATATTCATCAATTGATTGTTACTAGGCATAACCGTAATTAGTTTTAATTTTGATGTTCCTCGACAAAATCCTTCTTGTAATTCTTTGACACTTTTCGGAATGAAAAGACTTTCAATGCTGGAAAATGTAAAAACATCTTTTTCGATTTTTTCAACTTTTGAATCAAATGGGAAACTTAATGAATAAATCGATTTTAAATTTCGGAACGCGCCTTCTTTTATACTTATAATATTATATTCTTGATTATTAAAATTAATTAATTTAGGAATAAAAACATCACCGTTCGCATTGTCATTATTCACAACACTCGCTGTTTTATCTTCTTCATTGATACTATATATCAATTTGTCAAATTTAACTATTTCTGAATGATTTTTCATCACAATTATTACAAAAAATTGTCCAGACGGTTTTTTCTATATTGTAAACCATTTAAAATTTTTTTATATGAAAAAAT